TTCGATTCTATAGAATCATGTCAACTTAGTGCTGGCAGTGGAAGGATTTGCATCGCAAAGTTCAATCACCAATGGGTTCCCATGCATGTCCATCACCTTGGAATGCTTTGATTCTGTACCTCAGGTGCAGGACCTGGAACCCATTTTTAGATCTAGATCTTGACCCCAGGGCATATACAAGGTTCACTATAGTGCCAGGGAGTGGGAATTGACCAGTGGTTTTATCACCAGTGGAATAGGAGAGTAAAATCTGGAAGCAGTCTAAGGAACATTGAGCAGCCATGGGGGAAAAAAAAAGATAGGATGCACATATTGTAACATGGCTGTTTCCAAGATCAGTGTGGAGTATGACAAGCAGAGAGGATGAAATTTATTGTGCAACACTATTTGTGTAATGACCACTCACATGAAACAACACAGTATAGGAGGATACCCACACATTTAAAGACATACATTGAAAATATTATGGGTGTGGGATAGTATGGAAGAAGGAAAATAAAAAAGAGAGGCCTTTGTACTGACTGAAGATGACAGCGTTGACCAGTGACGAGCATTTAGAATCCAGTTAACTAGACTCTGCATCCAATCTTCAAGGGAAATAAGGAAAAAGTGACTGGGAGCAAAAAAAAGAGAAAGTGCTCCAAGTGACTCAGACCTCAGCCAAGTTCGGCCTTAGGGTGGCAGCCCTACTCCACAGAGACAATGGGGGCCCAAGGAGGGGGACCATCCTCTTGGACTAAAGTGCCACATTCTCTTCTATCCTCCCACCACCTACCTGCCTTTTCTAACAGCCTATTTTTTTCTTTTCTTTTCCCACTAGAGGCCCAATGCATGAAATTTGTGCAAGGGGCTCGGCCCTCGCAGCCCTGGCTTCGTCCAGAATGTTGTTCAGCTGTCCCATCTAATTAGCATATTATGCTTTTATTATTATAGGTAGCTCTTATTTTCTAATTTTTAATCTGTTATGATGCACTAAGCAGCAAGGTTGGTGTTTGGTTTAAATGAATGACAGGAAAAGACCAAATGGTTCTATTTTGAGCATTGTCTTCTCTCTTGGGTTTCTTGCTTTGCTGGTTAACATGGTTCGTTTACTGACTACTTACTACATGCCAGGCACTGTGCTTTACCTAAATCCTTTAATCTGCACCAAAAACTCAGTGAAGCCTGTTCCTATTTTTTAGATGACTAAAGTTTAGAGAGCTGTTTCTTTTCACACAACAGTTAAACTTAACATTCTATGGGTATTATCACTCCAGTTGAGACTATCGTGAATCATCCAACCAAAAGGATGTTTCTTTTATCAGATTGGAAGAAAATAAGAAAAATGCCAAAACTTTGGTTGGTATCCAAGCAGAGAGAAATTAATCAAGTTCTTTCTTCATTGAATGGCTGAAGGACATGACCAGTCTGGTCTTTGGAGTGGAGAATGTGTTCAGACTCAAAGAATTTATATATTACCCATTTCATCTACATTCCATTGGAATTCCATGTCATTAAAATGTTATTTCTAGAGAAATGGTGAGTTGCTGGCAAGTCACTTCATGTCTTCTACTGTTGTTTCTAACACTCTCATGTCTGTACATGTATGACTATATATGATGAATTAACTTCTACCCAGGAGTTATCTGCTCCTAAATGATTTCCCTATTTTGTAGACTATAGTTTGTAAATATGTAACTGATGAGGCACCTGCCCATGAACCTAGAGAAAAACCATGCATCTAAGTGGCTTACCTAAAAATGCCCAATTTAGAGGAACTATCAGCATAGGGTGGAATTTTCAAATGCAGCCAAAAGGAATGACATTGCTTCTGAAGCACTGCTTTGACTGGAGGTCACCAGGGTTGCCACACCTGTGCATTTTCATGTTGCATATATCACCTGCCTAATTGGAAATTCAAGAGAACAAAGTCTTCATCTGAAAATAAATTGTCATGAAATATAATCTGATAAATTAGCATTTTTAAAAGAAAGAGAGGACATCTGTGGCTCAGGGTGTTTAATTCTATTTCTATGGTTTCTGTCAGAGGCCTTTCTTCTTCTTCATTTTTAATTGCTCTTAGCCTTTCTTTTTTCCATTATGCTGCTTTTGGATTACTTAAACACATGCACATGCACATGCACACACAACAAACACAGTCTCCTTGGCTAACTTCTTAAAATGCAATAGTCACATTCTTCTAGGAAAAAAATAAATTATTGCTACTAACCTAATTCAAGAAAAAGCCTGGTAAATCTTCAGCTGGCAGAAAAGCATTCATTTCAGAAATGTGGAACTCACAAAATAGTTTCCAAACTTGTGATGCATTCTACTTGGTTAATGTTACCATGATGAAAAACTGAATTTTGATAACTGATATATCATACAATGGAAGCAAATGTAAAAAAGAAATTTTAGAAACATTGGATTCTTGTTCTAGAATGTCCATAATGAAATTACTTGTTATCTCGAAACCAGTAGGATTTGTGGTTCCTATAGTGCCAATATAGGGTGTTGAAATTCTTGGGGATTTGTCAGACATTGTCTTAGGAGAAACTTAGATGAAGATTTTCTATAGATAAGACTCCATTGGTATGCATTATGTAAAAGGTGCCATGATCTGGACCATCTACCTTAAAAAGGTATGGGAATATGCTGTGAATCTCACAGCCTTTTTCTGCATCTCTTTATTTATTTATTTGTCAACTTCTTTCCACAGAGCTTTAGAAAACTTGCCACTCAGAAAAGTCTCCCATGAGATCCCATTGGAGACTCTTCTTCCCTCTGAGCTTAGGCAAATATTATATCACCTAGAAGTCCAGTTTACACATTTTCCTAAAGGCTTTCTTGGATGTGCTTCTGAAAAGATTGATTTTTCATGAGTCCACCAATGCAGCCTTTCACTTAATTGCTGGCAAACTGCCCAAACCCAGGTTATAATAAGTCCATTAGAATAGAGACATCATTTGTTTTTCCTAGTGCTGCACCATGTCTAGTGACATAACCGTATTAGCCAAGAGCAAAGAACCAGACCCCTCATTTATATCATGGCTGGCAATGCCTAAAACAAGGATGACAGTCCTCCCAGCTGCCTTGTTACTGGAGCACCCAGACCCCCATGACCTAGCACCTTAGTTTTTAAAAAGCTATTAACATTACACTCATGATAAGGGTAGTCCTTAATAAAAAACAAACTGGAGGCATTTTATAGCTAAACAATTTTATTGGCTTTTTGTGAAATAAAAAACACAAAACAAACCATCATGGTTAAAGGCCATAGTCAGCGTCAACCAAATGAACCAGCCACTTGGTTAGAGTAGCTGATAACACTAGTGTATATTATTGCTTATACCCCAGGTTCATTTATACGTCCATTATGTTTTTGGCAAGATTACAATCAAACAGGAGCTTTGGTTGTGTAAATTCAACTCTGACTGCACATTGAAAACTCAGCCTCTACCATTTAGTGACAGGATATATGCTGATTCTTCCTGAAGCCTGGCATTTATCCTCTCATTCTATGTCCCTTCTCCTTCCATTAATGATGCACAACTCTATTGACGAAAAATTAAAGCAGATGCATTTATAGCCATCCCTCTGTACTCTACTGTCCCCTCCCCCTCCCCAGCCCTTGTCATGAAAGGGTGATGCATTTCTAGGCTTCTCCAAACTCTTGTATCTGGTGTGTTTCCACTGTCAGTAATAAATGCCTATCTATAATCTGGATAGATTTTCAAATGCATGACTGTCAACATTGGGGTCTGGACTCTACTGTCTCTATTCCAAGTTCTGAAAGCTAGAAAAAAACAAAACCAAACAAAACACGAATCCACAACCTTTAGCATCAGTAAGTTGACCTCCCAACAGAATAAGCCCTAGCTTCCACCACACAGCATCCCATGGCAGATATGAAGCTGTGGCCTTAAAATGCTTTGTATGAATGCTGCAACATTTTAATTCACAGAGAAGCAATGATTGACTGCCTTTCGAAAGCTCCCTGGCTCAGTACTTTCTATTTTAACAGTGAAAACTCAGAATGACAAGGGGTCAGAACAAACTCACAATAGCACCATTTCCTAGACTCTTGGAATAAGATTCCTGTCTACATTGGAGAACACAGGGACCCCAGATGACCCGGCCTCCAGCTTTGTGCCTTCATAGGCCCCGCTGAATTTCAGCTGGGGTGGGTGGTCCACCTTCCTTAGCCTATTTTCTGCAGCAACATGGATTTTCCCTGGGAAGAATTAAAAATACGTGTCTTACAAGTGAAGTTGGCCACAGGTGAGAGACCTGAGGAAGCTTGTTTCTGGTGGTGAGATGTGACAAGCCTGCAGATGGTGGACAGAGTTCGGGGACCCTTGCCCTTACCCAACTAGATTCAAGTCAGTAGAGAATCGGCATGCAGAAGCATGGCGAGATCAATGAACACTGAGAGACATCGACCCTAATACAGCAGTCCAAACACCAACACTCTTATGGTATCTTTTGTATTCAGGTCCACCAGTGAGTTTGCCCTGGATAATGCTGGGATTTAATAAGCCCTTCTAATGATTAGAAAGATTATCCTCTTGAAACTAGACATTTTAAACAACAGAAGATTTGATATCACTATATTTTACATGGCACACATAACCATATAATTACTAGCACTTACACGGCAAATATTGTAAATACACGTTCTTGGGGTTGACTTGGTAATTATACCAGTGTTAGTTGGCAGAACAAAGATTAAACACTCTCTAACTTGCACTTTGGGGAGTTTTATTCCAACCCTTTACTTCACAACAAAAGGCTAACCCTCTAATTATGTAATAACGCTCCGTGATCATGTGGGAACAGAGAATCACAGGGCGACTTCATGGTTAATTTGTGGCCTGTAAAATAAAGTAATACATAGTATTTTCATTTCAACAAAATACAAGAGACCATATAAAAATATTTTCCAAATTGGAATTTGCAACATGAAAGCTGAATTGTTTTTTTTCCTTTGTATAAAAAGAAACGAGAGAAGAAAAAAAAACCACCCAAAACGGACTAAGGTTTATTAAGCCTTCTAACAAAAAAATATACATGTAAGTTGAAGGAATGCAGTGAGCATTGTCAACTTCCCTTTTGTCCAGGCTCATTGATGGTGAGCTTGTGCTTTGATCCCAGCCAGATAAATGCACAAAAGTGGAGGAAGACCAGTGCCTGAAACCTGACCTACAGCTTATCGCTAATAATAAGACTAACGGTACAGTAGTGCTTTCAAAAGGGTGTGATGGATTACTGACTTTTCCTCCTCTTCCTCCTCAGGCGACTGCTGGAGATGAATTCCAGAAGCACCACTTTCGTCTCGAGTGATGTTTATTTAGTGCAATATCTTCCTTCTCTCTTTCCCTTTTCACCCGCTGGTAGTGGTCTTCTTCCTTCAGGTACCACACAGGGGGCCACCGGTGGCGCTCAAAGTATTCCTGGTTGTCTGGTGAAAAAAAGGGGTGGATGATCATACCTGCGGTTCATGCATCGATTGCTTCTATGAGCTAGGTTCTCTGTTTAATGCTTCACATGCATGATTATCCACAACCTGATGTGCTGGAACAATATTAAGACCATTTGCAGATTGTGACATTGACATTATTTTTTTTGTTTTCTTTTTAAAAATATATTTTTATTGATTTCAGAGAGGAAGGGAAAGGGAGAGAGAGATAGAAACATCAATGATGAGAGAGAATCATTGATCAGCTGCCTTCTGCATGCTTCCCACTGGGCATGTGGGCTCACTGGGAATCAAATCGTGACTTCCTGGTTCATAGGTCAATGTTCAACCACTGAGCCATGCCAGCTGGATGACACTGAAGTTTTGAGTGGTAGAATTACTTGCCCTAAACTCATGTAGCTGGGTACAGAGAACCGGAACCCAGGATCACTTGATATAGTGTAAGCTTGCTCCTAAGCCTGCCGCCCTAGATGAGGCTGAGCTGACAACCTCAGCATGCTCTGTGGCAGGGCCCCGTGAGCCCCACTCCACCCAAACCCTCCAAACACAAAGTCCTCCAAAGAGAACCCCCAACCTACAATCCCTGTGTCATGTCACATGGGTATGTGACCACCAGCCAGTCACCAGAATTTCTCCCCGAGCTTCCTGTGGCCCATGTTCCTTCTCAAGGGCAAGTAGGATATCAACTCAGTCAGAGGAGATAAGAATGGGATGGATGGGGACCCCGAAGGCTCACCTGCAGATTTCGATTTGATCTCTTTGCGGAACTTGGAACAAACACTGTTGTAGTTGGTGCAGATGTGGTGCAGGCACCAGGCAGCCAGCTGGTGGGCATTGTGGAACTGCAGGGAAGTGAGCAAAAGTGGGTACGCCTCTTTTTTTAATAAAGTGGGGATACAAACAAATAGGAAGCCACCGTAGGGGGGAGAGAAATAAAGGCCTGTATAGTAATTCAGTAAACACCTTGTCTTGGCTTTGGCTGTGGTCTATTCCAGCCAAGTATAGCCTTTGGCACACCCCTCCCTTATCCCCTGTGATAGGTGCACCAAAAATAATCACTGTATCAGATCAGGAGTTTAAAGTACGCCTGCCCTCCCGTACCCCACCACCTGGCCCTCTCGTGTGATAAGTGGCCATGGCCTCTGAATGGCCCCAGCCAACACCAGAAAACAGCGATGTCATCTCTGTTTAAGGAAGCCTGGGCAACGCAATACTCCGTGTCGCATGTCAGAGCTCAGCTTTCAGAGCCAAAGATCTGAAAGAGGAGACCGTGGAATGTGTGACTGTCCTATACCTGTCCTTTGGTTACATAAGAGCAGGCAGTGTGGGCATGATGGGAGGGATCCAAACGCTTCACCCCTCCTTTCTTGAGTAGGTGCTCAGGGAGGTGACACTGAGGTGGCTGTGACGGAAAAAGACCCGATGCTCAAAAAAACGACAGCTTCCCAAACATGAAAGGTCTCCTCCCATCCCTCACTCTTTTGGTCTATACCCCTTCTCAGACATCCATTCTAGTTGTTGCTCTTGACGTTTCTTGGATTAGACAAGACCCTGAAATCTACAGTCTGGCTTCTTCTGGGGCCCACATGGCCTTGAACAAAGGCCATGAGAAAAACCAAAGTCCTCAGAAACTAAGGCAAGAAACTCCTTGAAAATTACAACCCCAACCTCATGGACAATTTTAGCTGGTGCTTCCAATTTCTCTTGATATTAGATTTCTTTCTGAAAGTAGGATTAAGATAGTGCTATATTGAAGTTGGCTTGTTCCTATTCAGGAGAGACAATTGTGGATATTTCTTCCCTACTCTGAATTCAGCGACTTGATGTTGTTAAAATTGGCCAGCTGGGAAATTTATACCATGGAATTAGAAAATGCAACAGATCAGGGTCCCACCCAGCTGCCCCAAAGCCTAGTGCATGTGTGTATTGGGATGACAGAATCACAATATCAGTGTTAGCAAATCCAGATTTTAGAAAACCCTGGAGAGCCACAGTGAGACGTGGGGCCTAGCGGGACTTCATTGAATCCTAGAAACAGATCTTGGCCAAAAAGTGTGCAAGAATTTTACAAAGGAGAGACAAATCCCTCCCCTAGACGGCCCCAAGTTGTTCTCCTGCATGCAAAGCTAGGGCCTCGAGGGACAATGCGGCTGGTGCAGGGGTTAGGTCCTTGTTGTTTTTTCAAAGGAAGCCCAGCGGGGTGAATGGTGCATGAAATGTAAAACTCTCAGATCTTCCCAGTGTACACAGGGGGCCTCTGTGACTCAGTGGTGACATCTTTATTTAGACAGATGCAACAGTGGAATGTTTTATCAGCATTAAATGAACTGGTTGAACACACTAAAAAGGTGAAAAGCAAATTGTTACAAACCTGGGCCAACTCCAAATAAGAGAGCACTTCCCCATCAATGCCCACGCCACTCACAGCAGCCTTGGTCAGCTCCTGAACTGCGTGCTGCTCTGGGGAAGAGAGGGACAGGAGAAAGTTAGAACATCCTCTGCAAGCCAGACATCTTGCCTGGAGGGTTGGGTCTGGTGCTGGGCCGCCTAAGAGGGGAGGAAGTATGGAGCACAGTGCTAACAGCCATCCTAACGGAACCTAAGGCCCATTCTGATGTGCGGCCCTTCAGTACAGAGTTTGGTCTCCAGCCATTGCACCTATGACTCTGAGGACACTAGTTAGCACTTCTGAAAGAGCCAGATTCCTCCAGACCTTTGCTGTCCAGTATGGTAACTCCTGGCCATGAGACTATTTAAGTTTCAATTAATTTAAACTTAAATGAAATGCAAAACCCAGGTCCTTAGCCACAACCAGCCACTTTTAAGTGCTCAATAGCCACATGAGTTTTGAACAAGGCAGAAGCACAGCGTCCCCACCACTGCAAAAAAATCCTATTGGACCTGCTGCTCTACACAGTCCAGCACCTTTCTAGAATCCTCTAGACTCTCTAGTTTCTTCCTGTTTGACAGTTTCCCCACTCACCCTGTTCCAAATCTCAACACTTTCTGACAGTGGAGAGAATGAGTAACAGGAACGAGTTCATATGGGGAATTAAAATGTGAATGCTGCCTGGATTAGTGGCTGAGCATTGACCTATGAGCCAGGAGGTTAGGGTTCAATTCCTGGTCAGGGTATATGCCCAGGTTGCAGGCTCCATCCCTAGTAGGGGGTGTGCAGGAGGCAGCTGATCAATGATTCTTTCCATCATTGATGTTTCTATCTCTCTCTCCCTCTCCCTTCCTCTCTGAAATCAATTTAAAAAATAAAAAATAAAATAAAATGTGAATGCGTATGTCTATCTTAACAGCTGCAGATGGACCACATATTGCTCAGCCCCTTAGATTCTAATGACTGTCAGCCAGAAGTAACACTAACCCAGCTGGGAGAACTGTTTCTGCTTGTGAGCCATGTCCAATGTTTCAAACCTGAATTTAAATTGTGGTTCTGAGACTGAGCTGTCCTGCCTCCGTTTAGGCTGTCACCTGCCTCTGGGACTGACAGGGAGTGGATAGTCTAGGCCCCGTGTTTCTAGCTCCTTGATGTTACTATGTTTGTTTGTTTTTTCCATCTCTATCATTGCATCTGTTCTTCTAATCCACTATGTTGCTGAATCATGCTTACTTTCTGCTCTGGCTCTACATTCTTGTTGGTCAATATGCCTCTATCTGGTCAATAAGTTATCTAGATTTCAGTGGTTTCTTTGGCACACCCTTCCTCAGCTCGCTTGAAAAATAAGAGCTATTTGGAACTAAATTTCCCAGAGAAGTCATCGGGCTTTTTAATTTGAGGTAACCTCACCATTCCTTGATATTTATTCAACACTTTGTCTTGCAAAGCATTTTCACCCCAGAAGCTGATTTTTAAACAAGATTCTAAACACTCTATCCTTACACTAAACAGTATACATCAAATAGTATAAAGGAATCATCTTAGGAAGCCATCTATACTAATAAAAGGGTAAGGGTAATATGCTAATTAGATGGGACAGCTTCCAGATATCCTTCTGGACAAAGCCACGGTGGCAGGGGCCAAGGCAGAGGTGGTTAGGGGCGATTAGGCTGGCAGGGGGGAGCAGTTAGGGGCGATCAGATTGGCAGGGCAGAGCAGTTAGGGATCTGGCCTAAACCAGCAGTCGGACATCCTCCGAGGGGTCCCGGATTGGAGAGGGTGCAGGTTGAGCTGAGGGACTCCCCTACGCCCCCCGTGCATGAATTTCGTGCACTGGGCCTCTAGTATATTAAATAATTATAACAGTAATAATAGCATTTAATAACAAAAGTAAACAGAGAAGTCTATAGTTCATAGGAAAGGGTTTCTTTGGGTCAGTTTCTTTTATGAAGAAATCAGTTCCAGGTTTTCATTACCATACTTAATATTTAAGCAAAAATGACACTGTGTTGAGATTGGTTACAAACCCTGTTCAATGGATTTGGCTCCAAATTGCTTCTGTTTAAAAAAAAAAATCAAATTTATCCTTAAAGGACAAATACTTGGAAAAACAGCCAAGTGGTTTGGAACTCATACCTCTGAAAAAGGACACTGCCCATCACTGCTTCCTAGTTACTATTTAAAAAGTAGTGTATACTCATTTAGACCTATGACTTCAGGTTTATTAGTTAAAAACAGTTTTTTAAAAATCAGCTAGTGCCTGGCTGGTATGGCTTAGTGATTGAGTGTTGACCTGTGAACCAGGAGGTCACAGTTTGACTCCTGGTCAGGGCATATGCCTAGGTTGTGGGCTCAATCCCCACCGCGGGGCATGTAGGAGGCAGCTGATCAATAATTCTCTCTCACCACTGATGTTTCTATCTCTCCCTCTCCCTTCCTCTCTGAAATAAATATATTTTAAAAATATCAGCTAGCAATGCTTCAACTATCTCTTGCTATCTCACTGAGAAAGAAGGCAGGGGAGGGGAGGACTCTGACCTCCTATTGGTTGCATATAGTAGAAATGTGGAATACAGAGAAATAAATCTTTTTCCTAAAGACACTGACAGAAAATAAAGCACAGACATGACTGGTTGGTTTGCTCATACATTCATTTAATGATTCAACAAATATTTATTGAGAACCTAACATCCTCAGGCACTTTTCTGTGTGCAGAAGATAAACCAATAGACAAAACAGGCACTATCTCTGCTTTCATGGTTAACAGGAGTAAACTAAATGTAGCGATAAACACCCAAATGGCTTGCTAACTGACACTGCTGGTGAATAAAGCTGAAGGTTTAAATGTAAGTGGAAGGTATTTGAATGCCTATGTCCTATTTAGACCTGCTTTAGCTTACCCACTGAACAAATCTACAAATGATACATAAGATTTTGAGAAGTTAAGCCAAGTCTCCCTTTTTTTTCTCATTCTTTCTCCCAAAATGATCTTGACAATGTCAGAACATTTTCTAAAATAGCTTTAAGAAAACCACTTATATAATGCTGACTAGGACCAGACACAGTTCTAAGGACTTTATATATACATACATCTTAACTCTTTAATCTTCCCTACAGCTCCATGGAAGCATACCATTTTCCCCATGTTAAAGAGAGTGAGAGCTGAGATAGAGCAGATAAGTCAAGTAAGAAGTCAGTAAATGATGCAGTCAAAATTTGAACCCAAGCAATCTGGCTGGGTAGCCTATGTTCTTAACCACTGCTTCCTATAGCCTCTTTCTAAAGACTGTGTCTGGATACATTATGAAGATGACATGGACACAACAGTGTTATTTCAAATTCCATGGTCCACAAATGAGGTAGAGTGCAGAGAAAATGGGCCATGAGGGGATCGGCCGTGCATTATCCATCTTTTTATATTTGCATCACCTAACAGTTCCTACCACAAAGGAGGTGCTTAAAAATATTTGTTGAATTGAATTGGGCTGTCTGATACATTTGAGCAGTTCATATCATCCTGTACAAGACTGTCTTATACTGGGTGATAAAAAAATTAAGTTTTAGTCCCTGGAAATCTTACTTTTGTTTAAATGTGAACTTGATAAATATGACAGTCAGACACCACATGGCCTGAGTCATCAGCCTTACCTGCAAGTGCAACCAAGTGTGGCAGGCAGAATCTGTTTGCCAAGGCAATTAATTCCAGTGGGTCCAGGTCCAAGTTAGGTGACAACTGCTTGGTGTAGAGATAATCCAGTACCGCCTGCATTGACATCTTGTTTATGTTAGGGAGATATACCTGAAATGTTATTTGAAAAGCTGAGTTCTGATGAAGAAAGCAGTGGGCACATTTTCAGGCTATACTGCTTATACACATCCCAACTGTGTTATTCGAGATTGGCAAGTCTGGAACACCTGCTTTGAGGCTGTGTCTAGAAGTCATTCACTATTTATGGCTTTAAACATAACAGTTTGATTTGTAGAGGACAAAAGCGTGGGGCTGTCTGACAAAGCCTGATTTGGAATTTTTAAATGGCTATTTGGATTTATAAATCAGACAAATAGGTTGTAAATGTAAGATGACATTATGAGTCCTCCTTGCCAAGTACCTTTGTGGGGAAAGAAAAAACCTAGCAACATGACAGGTGTCGGGGTGGGGGTGGGGGGAGCTGCAAACCACACTATTGCTGACACACGGTAGAGCCCAGATCTCTAAGATGTCAAAGCAGAGTATATGCAACTACCCGAGCTGCCACAGTGACTGGCTTGATTCCAACATTCTATCGACATATATGCTAATATGATATACACACTTAATTATTTTTCCTATGGCACAACCACATAGATTCAGAACTACTGGAACATTACCAGGTGCCAGTAGACTGAGAGCACCCTTCGCCTGGGACTTCTGGGGGAATAGCTGGTTGGTATGGTGACCTCTCCCCTGCAGGGTTCCCCTAATCTCCCTCCTGAGTACCTGTAGCTGTTGCCCATGTGAATGCATGCTGGCGTTTGCTAGGCAGCCAGGGAGTTCTGGATGGCTGGGTGGGGCATGGGTCAGTGAGATCTACACTGCACAGCAGCTGTTCTTTGCTGCAGGTCTCTAACTACATGAAATGGGCCCTGGTGTTTATTTCTAAAATGATGATTATAAAAATGAACCCCATTAAAGGCCTCCTATGCACAAGATATTGTGCTAAGCTTTCCACACGCAGTATCTAATTTAATCCTCACAGGAAAAGATGATTATTTCTACTACTTTACAGATAAGGAAATTGAGGTTTAGGGAGGTTAAGTTCCATATCCAAGGTCACAGAGCTAGTGAGTAGTGATTGAGATTTGGACCCAGGGAATATAATTCTATAGTCTGTGTTCAGAACTGCTGTGCAGTATTGGAAACCCCTCATGGCAAAGGAAGCAAAGGTTTGGGTTACATCTTTCATTACTAGTTTTTAAGAATTAGATTTCTGAGTTCAAAAGGATAAGTAGTTATGCGCTTCTTAATTCTGGTATTTAATAAACCTCTCTACAGCATAGTATAAAGATATACATATCTAATTATATATAATTATATCTATACTATATATCAAATTTTATTCTCTTTTCCTCTCTTCCCTCTTCCCTTCTCTCTCTCTCCCTCACCTCATGTCTAATGTATTCTAGTGGTTCCAGAATGTTTTCAAGCATAGCAACCTTCTCTATTATTCTCTTGTATAGCCACCAGCCACCTCAGAGAGGGAATATCCTTTCAGACAGAACTTCCCCCTAATGTATCAAAGGAAGGGCTCATAAAATTCCTAGATATATTTAGAAAATTATCTCCCCTGCTTCCTTCAGGTATTGTCAGTGGAAACAATTATTATTCCATAAATAAGGTATATCGGTTATTACCATCCATGATTTAACAAGTGTGACCATTGCAAATAACCTCTGCAACATACAGAACTTGGCAAGTAGAAACTATTACTAATATTATTTTGAAATAAAAAGCCCTTGCATTGTAATTAATTGCTATTCCAGTGAATCTAACACTGGTTGTACTTGTGTGCATGCTTACATAGGTAGACATGTTTATGTACACATGCATTTATTTTATACATACATAGATTTATTTCTAAACACCCAATTGTTTCTGTATGTGTGAGCACATGGCAAAATTTTCTCCCTCAAAAGTGGTGTTTGGATTAGTACAATTTTCTAGATAATGGAAGGCTAATTAAGTTGTAAAACTTTAAAATTGGAGCCATTTTGATTGTGAAAGTACAGTGCACATTTTACAAAGTGCCAAGTGCTAAAGGTGTTAGTGACTGTAATATAAAAAGCCAAGGGCTTCCTGTGAACCCCTGCTCTCTCAGAGGGGAGGATGTCTGCTGTTTCTAAAAATACGGGCTTGAAGGACAGGGCAAGAGTCTGGGGCAGGCCAGGCATGTCACTACAATGCCGGGTGATGTTTGACAAATCATTCACCTTCTATGACTCTCAGTTGCCTCATCTGTTATAGGGGAGAAATTTGGAGTCAATGATATCTGAGGTTTTTCCTTTTTCACTGATATGGATTTTCACAATATTCAGATTACTTTAGCAGGTTTTTGTTTTTCTTTGTAAGAGTCTGTTCTAAGTCATGGTTCTAAGAGATGGCAGAGTCCAGCAAGCAGCCCCCAAAACTCTCAGTGTCTTTGGAATGTTCTGACATTTGTCATCATTCGTGACTTGTTGCTTCCTTCTTGCTAAATGGTACTAATATTTTTTTGAAGTGATGGCCCTTTTTGGAAAATAATGTTAGGGACTTTTGGAAGTAACCAGCAAATAAGAATAAACTAAAAACACTTTCAGAGCACACATTTTTCCCCCTTCATAGTTCATTGTTTTTTGTGTGTTTTTTTTTAAAGCCCATTCATGTGATTTCAACATTTACAATGGAACTGATTAACTATGGAGAGACTGTTTTATAGAATTAAAAAATAATATAAAGTGACATAAGAAATGGAATTAAGAATTTTGCATTGTACCTGCTTGATGTAGCTTTTAAAAAGAGAGTAATAAAAGAGAATATAATGCTATCCTAAATAACATTCCATATTCCAGTTTAGTTGGTTTAAAATTTTAATTGCAAAGATCAGCTCAGACTATTAGGCTTATAATTAGAGACAGTCTCCTAGAGGATGAGAAAGTATTGTAGATCCAGAGCATGGCTTACTACAACCCTGGCATGCATTTTCAATAAACCATTTGCTGCAAACCTCTGGGGGAGAGAATTGTGCTTACTGCTGTATTAAAAGTAATGAGAAAAATATACGTAAAATAGTGTCTTCTTAAATATTAAATGACAAAAAATGTTAAAGGAACATCAATGGGCACATTTTATTATTTTCTGAATATGCATGTGAATTCTATTAATGCCAAAAAATAGGCTGCATTTTGTATTGGGAAGTCAGATTTTCACAGGACAAAACAGAGTTAAAAGGTGGCCTAGAAAAGACAAATCCCAAGTGCACATAGGGACCCAAATCAACCCTGGAGCATTTACTGGGCGCTTGAGTGCTCTTCCCTACCCCCAAAACCACCTCTACCAGGAAGGAAACTGGGGGCTTTCACTTAGGGCTTTCAGGGGACAAAGATCTTTAACTCCTCATTAGAAAGCATTTAACAAGAATCCTCTAGTTGGATGATGGTCACTAACGATTCTTAAATGTTCTAGACACCAAATTCAATGCGTTACGCACACACTCTCCTGCCTTGCCTGCCCTTTAAAGAAGGTTCTCTCCTTCTCTGTTATCCCCATTTTACGGATGAGGACACAGATTTAGAGAGGCTGGCCACGTGCCCCAGGTCGAGCTGAGACAGGAGTTCAACATTACATAACGATCACAGTCTAAACTGGATATGAAGAGAAGGAGCAGGAAAGGGCAGGAATGTCTGTGCATGTGGCATTTGCCATACACTGGCTAGAGAAATTTCGGCACAGACCTTTGGTTTTGGTTCCAGGGCCTTGTCTTTTGAGCTGGGTTGGATCAAAACATACCTGTTATTAGCCTTAGCTACAGCTCTAAGTGGTGAGCGACCCTCACTTTCTGGGGGAGTGCTCAACAGGTGGTCATTTCCAGGGGAGGCATACGTGCACATTCACATTTGCTGCCAAGTTTTTGCTTCGGTCACCTCTCCTGCACATTTTAATCTGGAGACAATTACAATCCATTCTGGGAAGGGATAAAGGGGATTAGCATTTGTGAGGTCAGCTCCACAGTGTCCCTCTGTGCCTGGGTCCCCGACCTTGATCAGCTTCTCCCTGCTGGGTTAATCGCAGGCGGCTACAGCACCATCAGCACACATTGCAGTGAGCTGGAGAAAGAAGGGAAGCGAGCCTCTGGGCTCTTTATCTAGAGAGAACTGAAGTCAGTGAAATGCCTTTAGGATGAAGTTTTATTTATCAGTGGCGTCCTCACATTTTTTTTTTTTGGAAGAGACAAAGAATATCATCAAAATAAGTCTCCTGACAGCTACCATTATGTACAGTTGATGAGGTGCTTTGCACATATTCATTCTTACACCTCATGACCACACTATGGCTTATTCTCATGATTTCCAGATAGGGAGATGAGCTCAGAAGGGTGATCACTGGCCCAAGGCCTCAAGCTTGCAGAGTAGGAGCTGGGATGCAAGCCTCGCAGCTCCTTCACTGGGGGGCCTCCACAGGCTACAGGGGTCTCCATGATAACTCCCCAGAACACCTCTGACAGTACAGGGACCTTTTCATTGTCACATGTGAGAAGTTCCTGATCTACAATGGCTGAAAGGCACCAGGAGAGGTCGTCAGGATAGTTCCAATGCTTTTCTCCAAACAGCAGACAGCCTTTTGCTGGGGGTTGGCTTAGCAGCAGCTGCAGTTTGTTCTGGAGGCAGGGGGGGTGGCCCAGTGACCTCTCTAGTCTTGGTCATCCCAACTTGTGATTCTAGGATTCTGTTTCCCTACTTGGGGATGCAAATGCAGGCTCCTGGGTCACAATGGGAGTGCTCAGATTTCTGGTGTGAGCAATCCTTTCCAAAAGTTAGCCATTGTTTTCTGTATTTCTTTTTAAAGTTTGGAGAGTTGCTGAGATAAGCAAAGCAAAGCCTCTTAGGACAATCAACTTGATGGGGTGTCCCCATATTTTTTCTTAAAAAAAAAAAGATGGTTAAAAATACTTGCAAAACTGAACAAAAATGCTTGCTCACCTCTAGGCTAAAGTTAGAAGTGTTTGAATGAAATTTTTATTTATTTTCCAACTGAGTGTGTAAAAAGATGCAGATACAGGGTCTCTGAGGTACAACTTGCTCTGCTCTAAAGAGTGTCCCTCTTTTGGAGAGAAGGCCAGCATCTGACACTAACCAAGGGGCTTCCACTAGACCTAAGCACTTTGAGAGATGTGTTCAGAGGAGTAACCATTTGCTGTATTACTGTTTCCCTACTGCTGACAAACTCTCAGAGAAGGCAAGTTAAGGCAGAGCCACAGAGAGAGACATAGCTCAAGGAGACCTCAATGGCAATCCAGTGCATCCCTCATCTTGCGGATGAGGAGACAATGGCACAAGGAGGTGGCTTCTTGAGGTCCTCTCTCTGGTTAAGGCCAGAGCTGAGCCTAGGACATAAGTGACTGAAGACACATTTCACTGTCCTAAACTTTGGAAAGATAGGTTCTGTCCCTCTTATATATGCTTTTGATAATATGCCTGGAGACATCTGTTACAAAGTACAGCTGATCATGTTTTTCAGGGGAGAGGAGAGCGGTGGGGATGAAAGGATAGGCACGGAAAGCACTTAGGTGCTCATACATAACAAGTGAACAATAACCAATGCTCCTCACAATTGCAGATCGAAGAAGAGGGTGATCTGACACGCAGGCACTGCCTAAGGAACTATTTCACAGAAGGAGTTAAAGAAGCAAAGTCATCTGGCTAATAAAACACTTTATACAAATACACATGCACGTTCATGAACACTCACTCAGGCTTTTCGGAAGGCACGTACCTCACTGTTGGCGCTTTCCACAAATGACCCCCCGAACATGGCAGACATCCACTGGCAGCTACAGATCAGCAGCGGTTTGTGGGCACTGATGGCTCCATCGTCCAACTTAAATGTCACATCTGCCCAGGGATTGAGGAAACACCACCATGAGTCAGCCTCATTGAGAGTTGCACCCATATTCATCCATCTACGTCTCTTGTCCTCTCTCTTCCATAGCTTTATTGAGTGATTTTGTGTCCCATCTGTGGCACACCCAATTCCCTCCATGTTCTCCAAGGATTAAGGAGTAAGCATTTACACACAGTGTCACAACACAACTTCTCTGAACCATAAAGACACATAAAAGAGGAATATTTTTTTCTTCCCCATTATGAACAACTTCAAAAAATTATAACAGTGGTAAGAATAATACAACAGCCCTGACTGGTTTGGCTCAGTGGATAGAGTGTTGGCCTGTGGACTGAAAGGTCCCAGGTTCGATTCCGGTCAAGGGCATGTACCTTGTTTGCAGGCACATCCCCAGTAGGAGGTGTGCAGGAGGCAGCTGATCGATGTTTCTCTCTCATCAATGTTTCTAACTCTCTATCTTTCTCTCTTCCTCTCTGTAAAAAATCAATAAAATATATTTTAAAAAAAGAATAATACAATTCATTTATCACACTTAATGTTTGCCATGTTTGCTTCAGCTATATGTGTATATATAATTTATATAAGTTATTATATAAATTATATTATAAAACAGATAGTATTACACATCATTCCTACTTTATCGAGTTTCTAAAACTAAGAACATTCTCCTAGATAATCATATCATTACTTCTAAGAAAATCCACACTAATAAAAGAGAAACATTCAAATTGGTGTCACTCCGCTACACCTACCAGCCAATCAGGGTGAGTATTCAAATTAACCCAACAAAGATGGCAGCGGCCACGGAGCTGGAGGCTTGGGTTGCCCATGGTGATGGAGGAAGCCAAGCTTCCAGCCCGCCCTGGTTGCCACTCAAGGGAGAGAACAACACGCAGGTGTGGCCAGGAGCCTGAGAGATCAACACAGAGGGGTGCCTGCTCCAAGCCTCCGCGGTGTGGCTGGGAGCAGGCTCCCAGCAAGGACACACACACACACACACACACACACACACACACACGGGGCGACTGCTCTGAGCCTCCGACACAGCTGGGGGCAGGCCCCAGTGGGGACACACACACACACACACACACACACACACACACGGGGTGCCTGCTCCGAGCCTCTGTCAGACTGTGGCTTTGTCTGTAGGACTAAGCCGTCAGTAGGACATCCACTGAGGGCTCCCGGACTGTGAGAGAGGGCAGGCTGGGCTGAGGGACCACACCCCTGCAACCCCCCGTGCACGAATTTCGTGCACCAGGCCTCTAGTTAAAAATAATTCCCTAATATCGTCTACTATCTAGTTCATATTAAAAAATTTCCAATTATCCATGAACTGTATTTTATAGTCTTTTTCCCCCTTAAACAGAATTCACTTGAGGCTTCCCCACTGTATTTGCTCATTATGCTTCTGCAGTAAGGAGAGCTTGATTTCATGAACTTTACTTGAGTCCCACTGTTTAATTTGCTGCAGCTTTGAACATTTTTTTCCCATTAACTTTCAAGACTGCTTTTATATCATGACGGTCAGTGTTTGGAGTAAATATTACTCATAAGTTTTAAAATTTATGAACAGACTCAGTAACACTTACTAAATGTATATATCATGACAGGCATTATGAAAGATAAAGACACAAATGAAGTATACATATTATCAGAAGTTAGGAAGTCAAAATGTAATAATGACACACACACACACACACACACGCACACACACAGAGGACAACTGCAAAACAAAAATAGTACAAGATAGAAGACAGTACAAACATGGGCATGTAACCCATCTTGGATACAGGCCACCAGTGTGCTTAAGTAATTATGTAAGGACACCGTGGGCAGATATGCTTACTTGTCAAAGACAAAGAAGGAACAAGAAAGGAGTGTGAGAACAAAAAAGAAGAGGGAGTGGAAAGAGATGAGGCACCCCTGGTGGGAATGCAGGGGTCACCAAAATTGCCTCAGGATTTCAGTGCCTCAGGACAAGAGGTCTTTGCTTTTGGTCATGCGTAATTGCTGAAGGGTCAGTGGGGAACAGAGTTGCTCAGGAAGGAATCCTGAAGGAGAACTGTGAGCATCAAGCTGACTGGCTCAGGCTCAGGCTCAGGGATAACCTGACCCATCCTTGGAAGCATTGTGATATTGTGGCACTTCGGGGGACAGCTTGGGTTCAAATCCCGGGTCTACCTTTACTACCTGCATAACCATGGGCAAGTTACCTAACCTTCTGTGTCCTTCAGTTTCCATATCTGAAAAATAGACATAATAATATGTAGCCCTTAAGTCTGATGAGAATTATATAAGTAAATACATGTAATTTTGGCATGTGGGAAAACATAAGTACTCATCCATGTTAGGGACAGTTATGTTTTCCCCTGCTCATGTCTGACTACGGTTCGATCAAAGGCATCCAGGACTGGGCCACTGGCCCCGCTCACCTGAGAACGTCCCCTTGCTAAGACACTCTTTTATGCGATTGGCCTTCCTGACATGAAACGCTTTCGTAATCTCCTGGTTCATGAAGGCTTCCTTGTTCATGATGTTTTCCACCATCATTCTCAAGTCAAACATCTCCAGGACCTCTGCGATCTGAGCCAGGCCCACCAAGTCCTTCTCCTTTTCATCCAGTTGCCCTGTGTAAAGAAACTGGAGCAGGGTCCGGAAAGGGCCCGATTGGACCGACGAGTCCATCCTGACCACAGTCACGGGGCCCACCCGCTTTGAAATGGGATTGACTTGCATTTCCTTGTGCATGCCAAGAAACCCCTTACTCCAGCCTGCCAGTGTCTGTGCCTCTGGGAGTGAGCCCTCGGCTTCCAGCTTTAGAATCTCCTGCTGGGACAGGTTCTGGCTGGAGGCCTCCCACTGGTCAGCCTGAGGCGTCCTTCCGGTCCCCTCCTCCTGCTCCTCATCTGGGTCAACGACACTCCATGCCTGCTCCTGGCCATCCCGGCCCTGCTTCTCCTTCTCACAAGTAACTTCACTCCAATTTGGAGTTTCTTCACATTCCATTAGAAAAAGATCATAAAATTTGGAAGAGGAGGTAGCGAGGTATATTCGGTGTGCAAAGATGTGCTCCTGGTCCTGGAGGACGAACAGGACGTCAGCACACAAAGGATTGTCCAGTAAACAGGCGGCTTCGCTCGTCCCCGCAGAGGGACACTCTGGGACTTTGATGACCGGTGGAGGGGCTTTTGGAGGTAGGAACGGTGCCTGAAGTAAAGGTTTCTGAACTTTCTTGAGGTGGGATTTCCAGAACTGCAGGTGCCGGCGGGAAATCAGCGCTGCCCGGATTGCGTTGTCAAACACATCCTTGATTCCAAACTGATCAAAGACGCTCGTCTCATAGTATGGGATGCCCAATTCCTTTGCAACCTCTCGGCCTTTCTCAGGGGGCAGAATATCTCCTCTCTTTATGGGCCTGAAATAGAATATTTAAAAATTATTATCGGCTTTATTTTAGAAAAATAATGTAGTAGCTAGGGTCTCCCTAAGGACCCAATTGAATCATAATTTAAAATCCTTCTCAAGCTTTTATTTTTTAAAATATATTTTTTATTGATTTCAGAGAGGAGGGGAGAGGGAGAGAGAGACACAGAAACATCAATGACGAGAGAGAATCATCAATTGGTTGCCTCCTGCATGTCCCCCACTGGAGATAGAGCCCTCAACCTAGTCATGTGCTCTGACCAGAATCAAACCATGACCTTCGGGTGCATAGGTCAATGCTCAACCACTGAGCTACACTGGCTGGGCCTACTAAAGCTTTTAAAAAGCCTCTTGAAAAAATATACTGCCAACTTCAAGTCTTTAAAATATAAAGAACTTATGATTATAGGGAAAAAATGCTTTCAGTAGTAACCACAATAACTGAAGTAACAGCCATTTACTAACTATTTGATCCTGGGAAAGTTACTTAATCTCTTTAAGCCTTGGTTCTCCCATCTCTAAAAGAGGAATAATAATAATGAGTACCTATATCTTCAAAGAGTGTTGAGAGGTTTAAATGAGATAATATGCTTAGCATAGTACCTGGTCCACTATGCTTGATAAATGTTAGCAGTTATCATCGTGAACACCATCATCATCTTCATCACCACTAAATTTTGCTTTATTACTTTAAAATGAGTCCATATTCATTTTCTCATCTGAGCCTCACCATAACCCTATGGGTATTATTTTCATTCTACATTCTAAAGAAACTGAAGGCAGAGAGTTTAAAGGGTTTGCCTAAAGTCACATTTGCAAGTTGCTGAGAGACCTCTACTAAGCAATTAGAGTCTAGAACTCCCTAGTTCCAAACTAGTTAAATGGTCCCCATCCAAAAGCTCATTACATTCTTAGTAATTAGATTTGTAAATCTTCTTTCATATCTTTACCTTCTTTTTTCTTTCACCCTCTTTAGTCAGGACCTCATCACATTTTTGCCTAGACAAGTGCATTAGTCTCTCTCTTTCTCCCTCTTCCCCCCTCCCTTCCTCCTTTCCACTCTTTCTAAAAATCAATGGAGAAAAATATCCTCAGGTAAGAATTAACAAAAAAAATGTTTTGCCTTCTGGTTCCACTGAGTTCCTGGAAAATTTTTTTTTTTCTTCTGGTTCCACAAGGTTCTACCTCCTTTGGGCTGGCACATGAGACCAATTTACAGTCTAATCAAACCCAGGGAGGCCAGACCTTTGGAAGCAGTGTAATGGAATAGTTCTGTGATTATAGCATAACCACAGCAAAGACACAAATGGATTCCAGAACATAGGTAAGATGTGATCTGTTATAAATGCATACTTGATTTTGAGACATACTATTAGAATTTATCTTCCTAAATAAACATTTGGCTTTCAATACCAAAGGTAATGTGAGTGACAGGCACTAGTCTTAGGGGAAATAAGATAATACTAGGTAGAATTTGGATTTGAAGACCTGGATTGAAAAGAGGAGAAACTGTAGGGTGCTGCAAAAGTGGAAGGGGCGTGTAGTGAAGAAAGCGGAATATCAAGCTTTGTTTCTGTGGGCATTTTGTGCTCCTTGTCCTGGGACTGGCTGGAAGATCACTAACGGATGACACTTTTCAAGGTTTAGCTCAAATGTCACCTCCTTTATGTAATCTCATTACTGCTCTGTAGAAGGGCTTGTCCCCTCCCTGTCCTCTAGAGCTCTGTAACTCTCCCCTAGTCCTTCACATGTCCACGGTTATAAGGCCTGATCATCTTAATCTATTCTTTTATACAGCAAGTTCTGAGATCCGGGCAGTCTCTTATTCACCGTAAGTCCTCTATGTGGCTTCTAATCGATTCAGAGGCCATTTATTTAAGAACAGAAGGACTGTGAAAACTTTCCATGAAATCTTTTCAGAAAATATATCCAAAATGTACCCAGAACATCAGAAATTATTTAAACAACGTAACATTTGCTTTTGTTGTGAGAGCATAAAAAATTGTATCTAGATAAAATTTTGTAACAAGCACATTAGCAAATATTGAAAGAAGGTATTAATATCAGCATTTTGAAAAGATATGCTCTTCAGAAAAAAATGCACTTAAACATAAAACACATAAAATTATTTTTATAAAGGGACTATTGAAGGAGCATAGGTTTATAAAAACTCTTACTGCCCGCCCCTGAAATTGGTATCCACATTTTAAACTTCGCCTTTGAGTTGATTATTAAACTTGTGACACATTAAAACATAACCACTAGCAACATTTAAAAAAATGTTGTTTTGCAACTATAGATCCATATGATTTTTTTAAAGCCGGACACTGTCATTTTCGGAATGAAATACTCTCAGAGGCTGGATTGAGGAAAATGAGATTATAACCCTTGGACATGCATACCTGTACGAACCTGACGATCCTGGGTCCAAAAATTGTGCTGGTCACTCTGTTATTTAACTTTATTATAATCATAATTTCAAGAATGACATTATGAGTAGCTAACATTTTGTTTAATACTTTACAAATTTCAAAGCACTTTTCTCTACACCATGTCATAATTAGAGAATTCATTTCAAGCACTGGGCAACCATTTAGTGAAATGGGTTTCTACCTAAGAGGTGATATCACCGTGAGAAGGGTCAGGACACGCACCCTCATGCTGAATAAGGTAACTGAGAGTGTATGGCTGGCTGAAGGGGTCTCAAGACTGTTACAGAACAGAACGCCAGGCTACAGAGACATCTGCTATCTCCACATTTTAATTTGGCCAGCACAGAGAAACACCGAGTCCCTTGGCTTACCTTGCTAAAGGGCGTCGGGCTCGATTAACAGCTTCAAGATCGGCATAGCGGAGGTCTAGCTGGCAGCCAACAAGGACAACAGGTGTGCGGGGGCAAAAGTGCTTGATTTCTTGATACCACATGGTTTTCACATGATTTAGGGAGTTGGGATTAGCAATAGAAAAGCAGAGGACCACAACATCAGACCTAAAAGGAAATGAAAAAAAACAAACAGCACTGTATCACCTTTTCACTTTTTTTCTTTTATCATTAAAGTTTCTCCCCACTCCCATCCATCTAATGCCAATGATCATGTCATAATTTTAAAAAAGAGAGAGATTAGATATTAAACTACACCTTGGAGTCATGCAAAGAGCCTGATAAGCCCCCACAGTCCAGCATCAGCACAGCCCAAGTTCATGTCCACATTGCACTGCAGAATGCCTATGCATTGACAAGTTTCCAGTGATGCTATTCTATAGTATAGATGGTGACTCAAGCTTGACTCAGTCCTGGAACCACAACATGCTGAACTATTTCTGTTCATCACAGAAATAGTTTCAAGATAAAAGAAAACAATACAAACTACCTTTCAGCAGTTAAAACATAAAGGTGATGATGACTCAACCCAATGAGATAAAGCAAAGAGTTTAAACAATACTGAAAATGGAACAGGTATTTACTGTACAAGTGGCAAATGCTCAGAAGGATTTCTACCCTTCTTCCCACTTCAGCACCTGAGTGGAGAGCACAACCACTTATCTGGTTCCGAATTTGCAGGGATTTTGACTCTTTACCAGGTATAAGGTAAGAAGGTAGTGTTCAACATAAAAATAGCAAGAGTTAAATGGATGGCTAATAAGATGAGAAAATGTTGGAAGCAGATTTCTCAATATTATTTATGAAATATAGCAGGTAGATGGGGAAAAGAAAAATTGCTTTATAGTCAATTTTGACATAAAGATCTTTCATTTTTATATAACAACTTACCATTCTAGAAGCCAAAGAACTTTTTACAAGACAGTTGTTCCATTATGGTGTTTGACAGATAGTTGCTAAAAGGTATCTTTAAGAAGAATTATAAACTATCAGTCTAGGTTGAAACAGGCTCAATGATGACTTTGAGAACATTGAGGCAGAAGAGTATAAGGAATAGGAAAACTTATGCCCAAGGATTCGAGATTATCTTGTAGCTAAATTCAGAAATAAACTCGTATAATTTTATTAGATTATTGTTATGTAATGAGAAAGATCAAGTTGATTAATTAAAACACCATCTTTAATTTTTAATTTTTTTAGTTCAAAATAAATGAAGGGAAATTTATATATGTTGGAAATTAGAAAGGAACTAGTTCAAAGAGCAGGAGCTAACATTCCATGGGGACCTGAAAGAAACATATATTGAAATCCTGCCTCTAATATTTACAACCTGAGCAGGAGATTCAAGGGTCCAGAATTCAGTAAAGCAGCAGGATACAAAATAAATATCCAGAAATCAGTTGCATTTTTATATACTAATTATGAACTATCAAAAAGGGAAACTAAAACAACAATCCCATTCACAATTGCTTCAAAAAATACTAGGAATAAATTTAATCAAAACACCTTTTTTTTTAAATCATTAATGAGCTCCCCCCACTACATATCAATAAGACAAACAAATATATCCAGGCAGCCATAAAGTTTCTAAAAATAATCATTTGCAAGATAGAAAACTGCAGGGTTCTTACATTAAATGTAAATCATAAGTTAACTCTTTACATTTACATATATATATATAACTGCAACAGATCAGAGCAAATATAGAGAAAAATGCTGAGATTAAAATATTTATAAATCACAAAAGAGGACCTAGGACTCAAAGTAGATAAATGTATTAATCTGCATGTGTAGTGTCCTTGAAATAAAGATATTATCAAAGATTCTTGGATACTGGAAAATATGTGTAAAATATTCATAAATATATAAATGAAAGGAAAGCATGTCTTGTCTTTGGGATTCTGATTTAGTAGAATATTCTGTGCAGTCTTACTTCTAATCAGCATAAATAGCAGTACCCAGTAAAGCCAAGAGTGCTTTGAATTTTACATTTTTTTCAGGAGCTGAGTTTTCTATTATTCATAATTCTATTTATATAGGATATCTGATGTAGCTCTGCTGTAAGCTTCATCCTGATCATAAAATAAAGCCACCATGAATTTCGGGAGTGTGAGAATAATATGGCAATATCCGAGTTTCAATATTATAGAGAAAGAATTGAGGAAATGTATTTAGCACTTACAAGTGGAATAATATGTATTTGTATAAAATTGTTCTAATTGGTGCCTTCTCTTTCCATATTAAAGTATGTGACTATAAAGGAAATCATTCTCAGGGTTTAATTTATATGACAGACATGTAGCTAAATGTCAATTCCGTTATCTAATTTTATGATACAGCATGTGATGTTTTGAAATCAGAGCTAGCTCTGTTGCCAAGGTTACTGTGATAACACTCATGCCGCTGAACACATACTAGTTACTCTCCAGATGACCTGTAAACAAGTACAGACAGGACCTTGGGGGTTGGAAAAAATTGAATCTCCTGATGATAGTAGCACAATGCCACCACACAATACAAGTCCGGAGGGCCCAACTTCTAACTGTGTCCCATCAATATTTCAATGTATGACATGCTGTTGGAAAGCTAGAAATATAATTCCGTGCTCTGTAAATATTTACTCAAAAGAATGATAGTTAAAGAGAAGAGATTGTGCTGAGAGGAATACTACCTCTGAAGCTAAAATAATTTACTGAGTCAAAATTCTACTTGTATCCTTGGAATAAAGTTATTTTTTTCCCTTTTTAATGCACATCCATGAGAATCTGTCCCCATAATTTTATATGGAAAGCAGTTAAGAATATCATCTTTGCTTAAATGTATTCAGTTTAACCCTTGCTGATCTAAATATAAATGCAAATGAAGAAAACATTGTGTACAGATGATACAGAATCCTATTCCTTAGGCTGCAATATGAACGCAGTACACGAAACCTGATTTTAACCAAGAAAACTGTGTCAATGAATATAACGATAGGGCCATAGGAAGATGCTGCTTTAAACACATCCCTCCTTATCTCAACATCCTTTTCTAATTCCTCACTCTCAACACATCAGTATCCTCTGTGACACAAACACCTATACAATCAAGTAACTATTTTGAGAATGCCATTTATTCCCTCTGCTTTTTTGAGCCATTTTTTTCTATGTAGTCAAAGAAGGCACAAAACCTACAGTGAAGAATATCTCCAGCTTTAGGCGGAATTCCAAGGAACTAAGATCTTAAGTGACCTTTAATCAAACCATTCACTCCCATGTGGAGGCTCTTCAATGTCTACACAGCTCATGTTTAAAAATGCCATTCCTACGAAGGAAAAAGAGAAAAAGGGAACTTCTAGTGTGTTTACTTCTATAGTTCTATTATTTATTTATTTGTTTTTTACTTTGAAGAACTGAGTTTAAAAATAATTGGGAGGGGGTGGTGTGATGAGGACATTCTCACATATTAGGCAGCAGGGTTAGCCTGGAAATGACCTCAGGGTTCCTATTTCAGCTGTAAAAAAGCCTGATAGGATTTAAATGGAGTCCTACAGCTATTTGGAGTAGAATGCATAAGAATCCTATATAATAAAGAGCTAACATGCTAATTATACCCGACGGCGGAATGACCGTCTGGACAACCTTCCGGACGACCTTCTGAATGAAGCTGGGGGCTGCGAGGGCCGAGCCCCTTGCATGAATTTCATGCATCGGGCCTCTATTTTGAGAATAAAGAGGCAAAGCACAAAGTAGACAAAACTCTAAACTCCAGAAGTTGAATATTGAGAAGGGGGTAGGAAGAAGTTTGGATTATTTGTTTACTTATTTATTTTTGTGATTGGGCTAAGTAACTATATTAGAAAGCAAGGGTTACAAAGGATTCAAATGTACAGTCTCAGCTGCTTGCCCATGAATGTTTATTGTTTTGGAGAAAATGTGATTTCTTGTTCCTAAGGAGAAATATATATATAAAAGTTTCACTAGGGTACTAACATATCAAATAATGCCCATGAAATAATGTTTTGATTAGTTAAGTAAAAAACAATCCAAAGTAAGTCTGCATGTTTGAACATTGTGAATTATCAGTTTCACGGAGGGGTAGCAGGTGGGGAGGGAATCAGAAAGAGATCTAGTCATCCAAAAATGCTTGAGCTGATAAAGCCAACCTCAATCACATCAGTTTTTCTTTTGATGGTAAACAAACAAAAAAGCATATTTTTCATTGATCTTTCAAGTAGAACACTGGCCAAAAATAGCATGTGAAAAGATTGGCAAAGATATTTGGATAACATAAGGAGTACATGCAAAGTTGGGACCAATCTTTGTTGGAAGATTAAAGGAAAAAAGTCTGAAAAAAGTGCATCTTATCCACATATCTTGGCCAGAGCTACCCATTAAACAGCAAATGCCACACATGTTCGCAAGGCCTATCTTTATAAAACTACAATCAAATATAGCAAACATAGTAGGAAAAGACCAGAGAAGCAATGAGAAGCTAAACTGATTTTCCAACCAGAAATACCAAATTCATCCTTTGAAGAAGTGGTTGAAAAGGGCAGATAATCACTATCAAAAATTGGTTATTAGAAACGAGTTTCCTAAGTTAATTTCCAAAAGTGCTTCTTGTGTTCCCTTTTCTAGTCCCATCATTGTCCAGTTAACTTATGCTTTCTTATCTGGCTAAGTGAAAAATAATTCCTAAATTATTCTTTATCTGAAAGCCTAAAACCAGGCCAATCTGATGGGCAATGTGAAGGACAGCGGAGTCCATGCAGTATACCAGACAGCTGTGAGAGGGACAGCCAAACACTCTTCTCCATGGGCCAGTTCTGGTTGGGTGTCTTGAACTTAGTGACTAAAAGAAAGCTAACAATGATATTAACCTGAGTCTTGCCTGCAAGTGTGCCCTTTTTAACAAACATTTGTTAAAAGTGTGCCCTTTGTTCTATGGATCCTACCTCTTTATGTCACTACTGCCTATCATTCTTTCTTTCCTTCTTCTTTTTTTTTTAGTGGAGACATCCACACCCTTTATATGGGTAGAGATCATGATCACATTCTTTTCTTTGTCCCCTTTTGACAAAGGTTTAAGTAGGAGTCTCTGACCTCTACTTTTGGGGCTTTAAACTT